TCAAGTGAATGATATTCAACAATATTCGTGCCCAATAGTAGCAAAAAATTAATATCTCATGGATACAAGAACAATCATAAATACACTAGAGGATAGCATCTTATATATTATATAATTTAGAGGTACCAACAATAATTGCAAAGAATGATGTGACCTATCTTGGTGGTTGGCTCGGCCCTTGTTTAGTTCCAGGAATTTGGAATTTGGGGCTACTGTAGCATCTTCGTTTTTATTTGGCAATTAGTGTCCAAACATGGACTAATTAGGCTCAAAACGTTCGTCTCGCAATTTCCCACCAAACTGTGCAATTAGTTTTTTTTCGTCTACATTTAATGCTCCATGCATGGACCGCAAACATTCGATGTGACAGGTACTGTAGCACATTTTTGGATTTTGGACTTCAACTAAACACGCGCTCAAGCAACCACTGAAGCATCTGAACATCTATGGCTACATGCGCTCATTCCTATAAAACAGTGGCTACACTGGCATCCGGAGAATCCTGTAAACTCGCCGTTGTCCAAACCAGCCTCTATGTAGTCTCATAGTTACAACTAAGGATGAAAACGGTCAAACTCGGTCGAAAAACTCCTCAACCGTTTTCTACTTTTACATTTGAAATACGAAAGCGAAAGCGGACAAGCCGGACACGAAAACGAACACGAACTTACGGAATATCTAGAATTTCGGAAACGAACCAATTCGAGCGGAATTATGTCGAACACGGTCGGTATGCGTGACGGAATACCGACCTGTATCAAGTTGTAACCCCTATGTTTGCCCTCATGCTAAAATTCACTAAAAATTGAAAATTTTAAATTTAACAACAATTTAAAACTTATTTTCTGCAAAACTATTTTAAACCTTGCATTAAAATTCACCATATGCATTTTCATGTGTTGATATGCTTTCTCGAATTTATTTGTGACACCAAAAATATTTACCTTGAATCTCTAACCCAAATCTCTTCTTAGAATTTAAATCAAATCACTTCAAATCCTCGTCCTTGATTTTCTGGAAATTACAAAATCGTCACAAAAATACAAAATCTATTTTGGGCCACTTTCTCGTCCCGGCCTACACTCCCTCAATTCACGCTTGGCCCAACAGACCACTTGCCTGATGGGCTGCTCAGCATGGCAGGCTGGCACCAGCACGCAGCGACCTCTCCCTCTTGCATGCAAGCTGCAAGCGCCAGCTGCCAGGCGCTCCCTTCTCAATTCATTTAGTACCACCTCGCTTAGATACACGGGAGCAAGGGAGCCAATGGCCTGTATAAAAACATCCAGGCGCACCCTCCCAGCCACTTACAGAGCTGGGCCTATATTGAGCCAAATTTGGTTTATTTTGAAAACGGTATATTCCGAATTCGAATTCGGGATATTTTGAATTAAAACTAGAAAAGTAGAAATCGGTTGGAAAAAGTCTAAACCGATTTTGTTCTGATTTTGAATTTGGTGTTTCGTATTTCAAACCGAATTTGAATTTGTTCTAATTTATCTGAAAATACGAAACCGTTTTCACAGGAGTTGCTTCGTATTTATGGCCCCTAATAGAATACAAATTTAAAGTTTCAGTCTAACTGTCATAATACAACTCAAATGCAACTGTAGTCCAACGGTACACGTTTGACACATCTAGCACTCTTGTTATAGAAAGAGCGGTCTCGCAAAATACAGGCCAGACCGGCAGAGTCAAACAAGCCAGCGAAGTGCAAGCGCATCAAGCAACGATAGAAAAAGCCGCATGCGATTCGTTCATCCATTGACTCACCGCTATTTTAAAATTACGAGATGGAGATGGCTGAACCTGAAATTGGAATGACAGATCTCTATATGAACAGCTGCACATACAGTACTTTTCAGCGAATGAACGGTATTTTTCTTTCACAACAAATGCAGCATAAACCAAATTTTAGCGAATTGTTTGTTTCGTGTTTCGCTGAAATTTAGCTTATCCTGATTTATTGTGAGAGAAAAACATTGTTCGTTCGTTGAAAAATATACTTAAAATAATTCAAGCGAACAGGGCAACAGAGAATTCCATCTCCTCAACTAATTGGAGAGAACAACTTGGCTGCTGCTTGTGCGCCACGGCTGGCCTGCCGCTGCTGCCATCTCCTAGCTCTCCTCCTTGCCACCCTGGCTCTCATCCGCTCATCTCCCCGTGGCAACTGTTACCACTGTCGCTGGCAAACATGTTGACACCGACACAAAAACACATCGGTTGAGACTCGTGAGGTTAAGGATGTGGTTACGGGCGTCGTAGGCAACCCTGGTAGCAAGGACAAGGGTGGTGTGCCTCCGTATGAACAGCCCTAAGCAATGCAATTTGCACCGGATTATGTTGTGCAGGCCATTGTTTATATTGTCCTACTTGAGCAGATGATGAGATCGGTGGATCCCTCTGTATCTTTTCATGTGTGTTTTCTCTCTGTTTCCTTCATTTTGATATTATTAATTACAAGTGTGGAATGTGTTTCTTTGTGCTGCAGGGGTCGAAATTATGTTGTGAACGGTAACCGTCATTGTACTATAGTGGTCTACTTTGCCCTTATAGAAAAAACAGGTATTTTAATTTATGCCCTTAAAATATTTAAAATCATCTAAGAGGTCGTTTGGATTCTTTCATTTTGGAGGAATTAAAATCTACTTAATGGAGTAAGCTATTTGACTTGAAATTTGATATTCCACAATTTTTCTAAGCTCACATATATGTCTATCTCAAATTCTTAGGGTGGAAGATGAAAATTGATCTTATAAATCATCATGCTATATTTCTACTCTCCAACTTATAGCACGTTCTTTAACTCGCTTCCGTACAGTAGAAATGCAACATATAAATATCTCCCTTGTATGGCTAATAATAATAGACAAACATATTCCATATAGAACCATATTAGCTTAATTAATTTGTGTCTAAATTATAATTATCAGAATAAATTCAATTTCAAAGATCCAAACGGTCCTAATAAATAGTTCCTTGGGCCTTATTTGGATGCACGTGTATTCACTTTAATACATATGTGTTGGAGTGGAATAGAATAGAACTTAGTTTAATTCCACTTCAACACACATGAATTGAGATGAATACACGTTCATCCAATCTAAGGCCTGAGGTGGTTTGAAAGTTGATGTTGTGATGACCAGTTTTCCACAAAACCTTCAGGCAGCCCAAAGGTTTGAAGGTCAAGTCAGTGGAACAGAATACCAATGAGGGTTAAACAAAAGCAGAAAGAGAGAGAAGAAAACAAATGTTGTTAATCTCTCCTTTTCAACATTTACAGACTCCGTATGTATAGGGGAAGTGAAGGGCCGCCTCCAAAGTTACAAGACGCCACGACCATCGTGGCATATTCAATTCCCAGCATATTCTAAGGGCAAGGTGGTCTTCTTTTTTGGACTTCTACCAACTCTGGTTCACGTCAACATGTTCCAACCCAATTCTTGCCAACATAGCCTCGTGCTAGGTCCTATGGTGTACCTTCAGGTAATGTCTTGCAGTGTACCCATATACAGAGCTTCATTGGGGCCATACTGGGCCATGGCCCCCCTCATTTTTGCAGTCTTATATAGGATACTATAGATATATGTATATTTTCTTTTGCTAATGAAGTTTTATAATGCCCCCCCCAACACTCCCTAAATCATGTATATTTTCTTGTTGGCCCCTCAATATTTGTCCTCAAGCTCTGACATTGAGTGTACCTGTGTATGCTTCTTTGCCCAACCTTCGGGGCCTTTGAGTACCTGAGCCATAATTAGAAGTCAAAACAAAAAAAAATACTAGGCTAAATATTAGACAAAAACATTTACTAATTTTTTCTATTATACATGCTAAATACCAAAACAAAAAAAAAAAAATGAAAGCACTTCACATTTTGAATACCTAACTCTAAAATTCTAGGCCTACCACTAGTACAATGAATCATCGAAATATATCTATATATGTGCAGGCATAAGCATTGATTGTTTGATGCCTAAAATTTGGTTACCAAAACTTAGGCAAGCCAAAATTTTGGCAGCCATTTGATTGGCTACCAAAATTTGCTAACATCTCACAATTAGTATGCCAAATTTATGGCAAATATTCTTATCCTAGTTTTAACAATTTTTTTCTTGGTAAACCTTTGGTATTGTAATTTTTGGTAGCCAACCAAATAGGCCCTAAGAACAATAGATGGATCGTCGTGGATTCCTGGTCTACATACTCATCCCGAAACGCTTGCACGCATATGATGAACTCAGGAACAGAGCAAACGGCTCCAACAAACACAGCTGCTGGAGTGGAGACGACGATCCCAGCGGCTCCTCCGGGCTTCCGGGCGCGAGCGGCCTGCTGCCTCTCATCAGACCGGTGCCTTGGGAACGAGTACCGATCCACTTCACAGTTCTTGACATCACGTACCTTACCCAAGATCCAAACGTTTTATCTTAGTCTTACCATACTTGTTGAGATTGCCTCCGTCCTTGAATCCCTGATAAACATCCATGCAGCTGCAGGGGAACCAGAGTCATCCGTGCCATACTGCCATTTGCAGGCAGGGAGGCTTGTATTCGTTTCCTGTCCTGCTCTGCTGTAACGTGCATGTACACCCTTCGTTTGCTCGTGTCTTTCATTTCAATCTTTCTTCTTCGCTTGATATATAATATATATATAGTATTGTACCATGTTCTGGATGTTTCAGTGCTCATCTGCAGCTGGTCGGCAGTGCAAACATAGTTGAACGATATTGTTTTCCTTTTCTTTTCCACTGCAGCCGGGAACGAAACAATTTCCTGACAAATTATATGTTTTTTCCAAAGGTACGAGAAATTATATAGTAACTGGCACCAATCTCATGTTGCACACCATTCTTCGAGAGAATGACAGCATGGGCCACACGCTGACTGTCAACAGGAACGAAGAACCAGGAAAGCAAGCACAAAAACACCTGAAACGAATAGTACAAGTTGGAACGCAACGAACGCTGCAGGCGGCAGCTGTCTTCCTGTTCGTTCTCATTCCAGCTTCTCCAGTTCACCCACTCGCTCAATTATTGCCTGAAAATTTGAAAGGAGGTGTTGATCATCCTTAATTCATTATCTATGCTTAATGAACAAACAAAAAAGAAAGAGACTGCACTCGGATATCCTGAGAGCTGTTCGTAATAACTTTGGATGGGCCAATCAAGTTCCAGACTCGTACTAAAAACCATACAAAGGCTATTACCCATTAATATCTGCATATCCCCAAGGCTGTTTGTTATCGAACATTAAGTTCCCGTCCAGCGTTTTCAGCACAAGGTACAATGTTGGTTATCTACATTTTAGCTCCGTGAAACTTGCCACTCATGGACATCAAACATCAAGTGTTGTGAAACAAACATTCTAGAGCTTCTTATATCAAGGTGAACTGGACATTCAGATACCAAGGGGAAGTAATTAAGTGTAGAGCCAAGGCAGTGTAGCTCCAGAGCTTGCTGTCAACTTTAGGTTTGGGTCGTTCTTTCTGCTCCGTTCTTTGTATTGTACATGGCATGTCTGGTTTCATGTAATGACTAAGCAGTTAACGCCCTGTAACCTAACATTCTTTATCAATGCAATAGCATGCAGACGCAACTCTCCAGCAAGTTCGGAAAAAAGGTATTGTTGAAAAAACACTAGTTCCAGTTATGTCTTGTTACTGGTTAGAGTGGAGAACAAAGCCAAATGAAGAACTAGGTCTGCATAATGGAAAGAACAAAATCTAGAGAAACAAGACAATGTTGGATCTTAATGTATTTAGTCAGTCCACTGTCCATTCTAATGCATTTTTGCCATCAACTGAATTAAGAAAGTAAATGTAACCCAAGCATCAGATCTGTCATGCCACGAGCAAAAGGAATAGCAGAAACTGTGACATACATTTATCATACACAGAAACTGTATATATGACTGGTAGGAACTGTTGGTTGTGGCAGAAAATACTCTAAAAACAAGAGAAAACTATGTATACCTTTTTGCTGGTCTCTTGCAGCTCTCCAGCAAGAATGAACTCATCTAGTATCAGGTAAACCTTCAAGGTAAAGAGAAAAATAAGGACCACTAATTTTACAATTAAATTGGTAACATCATAAACACAGGTTCATAAAAGCTAAACTGTGTGTTTGTGTTTTAGTCAGCTGATCCTGATAAACTATTTATTGCCACCTAGATGAAACCATATGAAAATGTGAACTATTACTTGCAATATTAAATGTGAACTAGCTATTGCCACTTAGTCCACAAGCAAAGAATATTAAAGGGTAACTTGGAAAATAAAGAAATGGTACCTTGTGAAAATTAAACACTAAATCAAGCTCACAAACATTGCTAAAGAAATGGTCCAATATCTCGACAAACAAGTGAATGCATTCCAAGTATGCCAATTCATTATCAGTTATGTCCACACATATTGAAAAAAACAGTCCTGCATATCTCCTGTAGATAACTTTGTGTGTGCGAAACTGCATAAGAAAAAATCCAGATTAGTATGGAAAGTCAAAGTAATAGAAGAACCCAGTAGTTGGGTTCACATGGTCCAATAGTAGCAAATATTTTAGTCAGAGACAGATTTTATACAGTCCCGTTAACATTTTAATAAGGGCGCACTACAAGGTAGAACAAAACTAATTCATGCAGTAGCCAAATCAAAAGCTTCAAAGCTAACCCTGCTACATGAGCAAAGAATTTTTTTCCCCACAAAGAACACAGGAGAGTTGCATGTTAATTCATTAAGAAGGAAAACATACAAGGAAAGGCCAGGGGGCAGGTCCCACAGATGTATTGTTGCAGATGCTCCAATTAAATTAGAAACCTCCGCCACAAACACCCTGACCCAATTGCCAAGGATAAGTCATAAGCGATCCAATACACATGCTACTCTCATTTTCCACCTGACTGTAACACTAAGGACATAGGACTAGCACCCTCAAATGCACGTGTTGTGGTGAGCATAGAAATTTGATTTGACAGGCTCATGGTTACAACTTAGATGAAAAGAAAAAGATGTGCTTAGAAACGTTAAAATTTTCTGTCGGTCATCAGTAGTTCTACTTTCAATATTGGAACATGGCCTACACATTGGACCACACACCAGATACTATCTCCAGACTCCGGTACTGTGCCTTTTGTGCAAGGAATATTGAATATAGTGAATATGACAGGATAAGAAATGAAAAGCATTTATAATTTTTTCACATGACTTGAATTTGTTTTTCATTCTTTTTAAACCAGACATCATGATAGACTCCATTTGGTATCTCCTTCTCTCCCTCATATTAATAATGAAACATTCTAAAAACAAACAGAAGTTAGTCACACTAGATATGTCCCCGTATGTTATGTGTAGCTAGCATTGATGAAGATCGTGTTGCCTGATCAATATTCAATAGTCCTCAAATTCGATCAACTTTAGCAAGACAAGCAAGTAGCCAACAATACCTTCAAATATCCAATTAACAGGCTGATCCAACAGACCAAGAACACAACAATGTTGGATACCTAGATGTACTCTCAAATCAACCTAATAGGTAGTAGGTAGCCTTGATAAAAAAAAAATCTGGTAAGACTGATCGAAAGAATCTATTAAAACAACAAATATCATGCAATCTGCTATATAATTAATAAATTTGCGTAAATTTACTCTCAGATTCTCCATCATGAACCACACAATCACTTCCACATAACCAATATTTACAACACAAGTACTTAATTCTCGATCAGCATCTCACAAAATCTGCTCGATTGTCACTCATAAAAGGAAATGATCGTCATTTATATCCCATTGCAACCAAAACAAGAGTCCCTACGTGAAGACACGAGCTTCATAACCATATCTATCACAAATTCACAATAGATAAATCCGCATAGTCCCTCATGTTCAGATTCAGAAGTTGCAAAGTATCCTATGAAGAATTTAGAATTTACAGAGAATCAGGAACCCGATTACCTCGACGAAGTTGGTGAACTTAGGGTCCCGATTGACCACGAGCCGATGTACCTGCGAACCGGCAAGAAACGAAATCAAGAAAAGTAGAAAACAGAAACAGAAGATCAAGAACCGAGCCGAACCAGTACCACTGATTCGTACGCCTCTTACCTCGTATTCAACCTTGTGCTTCTCCGAGTCCTCGAGCGGATCGTAGTACTTGGCCAGCCGCGTCTTCCCCTGCCGGTTCTGCAGCAGGATGAAGCGGATCTGCACCGCCCCAAGCCAAGAAGACGGAAATGTTAGTCGGATCCGATTGGATGCTAACCGTGAGAGCGCGCAAACAGTCGAATCGATTGGGCGCAAGTTACCATGCCGCAATCAGATCGAAAATCCTGCTAGGTCTTGGGTTGATCCGGTCAGCAATTTTGGTCGGGGAGAGAAGCAAGAACGCCGTGGTTTTCCGGTCACCTCTGGCGCTGACAAACAGGAGGAAGGCGGCAGCCTGCGGCCTACTGCGACCTGAAAATGTGTTTTAATTAAAACAATATACTCCTCCGTTAAAAAATATAAACGCACCTTACTCTTCTCGAGAAATCAAATTCTTTTGAATTTAACTAATTATATAGAAAAATATTATCTATATTTATATCTCCAAGTAAACTTAAAATACATTTATTATAAGGATATATTTGATGATACTTATTACACATTATAAATATTACTACTTTTATGCAATTGATTTATTAAATTAATTGCTAATAAGTCACAATATTTTTGCCAGTGAAGATTTTTTGTCGGTGCAAAAAGTGACCAACAAGTAAATATTTGTAGTTTTGCCATGCGTTGTGATCGGATATGGTCTAGCACTCAATGACACAGGATTTATACTGGTTCAGACAACGTGCCATACGTCCAGTTTCGGTCGGTCGGTGACTTTATTCGTGAGCCCAGATGCTCGAAGTTTGCTATGGGGTTACAAACAAATAGTAATAAGAATGAGGATGTTAAAGGCCCGGTCGGACTCTAAACCAAAGGGCCGAGAGTGACAGGCACTCTAACGTGCGCTAAGTATTAGAGCGTATGCTCTGTGGTCTAACATCTCTTTTTTTAAGAGCCAGAGTCCGAATTCTCATATCCCCTTTTAGGGGAGAACTCATCTCTTTTATAGTCGAAGGGGATGGACTCTTACAAGTTAGAGAAAGAGAGAGAATGTATACATGTGCTACCTAGTTTTGTTACTCATGCTGTCGGATACGAGACGATTGTCGGCATCCACAATACTATTTATGTCCAGATGCATGTGGCAGGCTCCACCGTGTTCGCCTGGTATGGCAAATATTGGCGCCTACAATACTGTAAGACAAATATCGACGCCTATAATACTGTTTAGGTTCTAACACACCTCGAAGGTTGTATAGTGCCTATCTAGCATGGCCTGGTGGTTCCGTCCTACAGGTGCGCAGGGTATGGCAGGGTATGGTCCTCAGTATTGCGGTTTGACTTTGAGCGCCTTACCTTATCTGCTCTGCCGATCCCGTGTCCTCACCGAGCGGGCGACCCCGATCGGTTGTTCCCAGTCGGCCCCGACCGTGTCGGTTGGGGAAGAGCTGCAAATAGAGGTCCGATGTATTCTCGGTTGAAAAAGGAGGTCAGAGTCGGACTACGTCCCCACCTTGGCTGGGCTTCCTGGTCCAGGACCGGCGCCCAACGTTGCAGCCGGGAGGCGCGCAAGCATTCACAGCAGCCTCTCGAGTCAAAGTTTTTATAGGGAAGCGGGTCCATTGGGGACCTCGGGTTTATAAACCCCACAGGAGCCCCCAAACCTTTTTGGGACTTCTGTGAAGTCATAAAGGGGCTGTTTATACTCATTTTTCGAATGCACCCGGTGGGTGTAAGATCGTGGGTCGCCGTCGGACGATACGGAGCGCCAACCTAAGTGTCCAACGCGCGTGGCCGAGGGGTCGGGCGAGACGGATCGCCAACCCAAGTGTTGGGCGTGGCCGAGGGGTCGGGCGAGACGGAGTGCCAGCCCAAGTGTTGGGCGCCAACCTAGGTGTCGGGCGCGGCCGAGGGGTCGGGCACGACGGAGCGCCAACCCAAGTGTCGGGCGCAGCTGAGGGGTCAGGTGTGACGGAGCGCCAACCCAAGTGTTGGGCGTGGCCGAGGGGTCAGGCGAGACGGAGCGCCAACCCAAGTGTCGGGCGTGTCCGAGGAGTCGAGTGCGATGGAGCGCCAACCCAAGTGTCGGCGCCAACCTAGGTGTCGGGCGTGGCCGAGGGGTCAGGCGAGATGGAGCGCCAACCTAAGTGTCAGGCGCCAACCCAGGTGTCGGCACGACGGAGCGCCAACCCAAGTGTCGGTGCCAACCCAGGTGTCGGGCGCGACCGAGGGGTCAGACAAGATGGAGCGCCAACCCAAGTGCCGGGCGCGGACGAGGGGTTAGGCACGACGGAGGGGTTGGGCGAGATGGAGCACCAACCCAAGTGTCGGGCACCAACCCAGGTGTCGGGTGTGGCCGAGGGGTCAGGCGAGACGGAGCGCCAACCCAAGTGTCGGCCACGGCCGAGGGGTCGGGCGCGACGGAGCGCCAACCCAAGTGTCGGGCACCAACCCAGGTGTCGGGCACAGCCGAGGGGTCGGTCGAGTTTCGTACGTTACCCCGTCCGTGGTTTTCGCAACCGAAGGGGTTGAGCTAACGTCACTTGTCTCGATGGCTCGAGTGACGCGCTCGGTGAGCTTAATAATGGGTACGTCCGAGTGGAATTCGGGTCTATCGTTTGTAACGGGGTTGGCATAGCCCTCATGTGGTATTCCACTGCTCCTTAACCCGTCTCCCGGTAGATGCTCGAGCCATTCTAGAGACCGACTCAAGTGGCCCACTAGCCTCCCCTCGATGGAGATTCTGTGGGCATGGCTCGAGGTCAGGATCGAACGAGATGGTCGAGATGACCCTATCCACTTCGGAGCGGATCGGGCGAGGGCCGCTGGGGCTCATCTACATTTTCTCCCCTGGCTCTGTTTGACGCGAGGCGGCCTCGAGCCCTTCGTGGGCCGGCCTTCGAACCCCGGTCGATCGTCGCTCATATCGAATGAGGCGACTACCGCTTCATGACGCAACGCGAAGCGTTGTGATGCAACTATTGCATATGCGATGCTTGGATGTATGGGATGAATGTATGGATGAATGTATGCAAGAGAATGGATGAATGAATGATCATGCACTAGAAAACAAAAAGGGTTTTTGGTAAAGTTACCTCGATGGCTCGAGTGATGGGTTCGGGGAGCTCCTATCGGATATGTTCGAATGGGATCCGGGCCCGTCGTTCATGACGGAGTCAAGATATCCCACATGGGGCGTCCCACTGCTCCTTACCTATTTCCCAGTAGCCACTCGAGCCGTCCGATCAACTCATGTGATCCGTTGGCCTCTCCTCGATGGAGATTCCATTGGTGGGCCCTTCCAAACCATGCCTAGGAAGGCGGAGAGTCGTTTGCGTGTGGTTGCGCCTTGTTTCATGCGCTCGGGTTGCGGTAGTGGTGGGCCCTACCTAGGCCACATCCCGTTAACCAGGCGATGTTTCACTGGGCAGGGCGCGTCCTATCAGCCAGGGGCCACGTCCCGCCGCACACCTTCCCTCATTAAATAGGTGGAAGGGAGAGGGGTTTCCTCCTATTCTTTCGCCTTTGTCCAACTGCTGCCTCTTCTCCTTCCTCTTTTTCACCAAGCCATTCGTGTGCCGCGGCGGTTTCTAAGAGAGAGGAGGGTAAAGCAAGGGAGAGAAAAAACTCACAGATTTGTCTGTAAGTCCAAGGTGCGATGTCGGACTGGAGACCTTCCTGCGTGGATGAAGAGGTGCTGGCTGCCTTCGTCGAGAAGGGGCTGCTCCCATTGAAGGTGGTGGCACATTGGAGGGCTCCTGCGTCGAGGGAGGTTGTTCTGCACCCCCGGGCCAACGAGGTCGCATCCTTCCTCGCCTTCCACGAGCGTAGTGGGTGATGGAGGCTCATCGTTCAACCGAGGCTGAAGACGTGCACAGGGAAGATGTCATCCCACCTGTGGAGGGAGTGGAGACCGTGTCGGACATGAGCGTTGTCCGCCCCTGATCGAGCCAAACGTCATCCCGACTGGAAGCAAGTTGCCTTCATCCTCGTCGACCGTACCATCAGGCGATGCCGCCGGAGGGCCATAGTAGAGTTTAGAGTATAAATAGTCAGTATATGTAAAAGTCGAGTTCGTGGGGAAGCCCCCGTGTGAACAGTTTTACATTCGTGAATATTTCAATTTTGTTTTATGATAAAATCACTTGTGAGGGGAAGCTTGTCCCATCTGCCTTTGTTTTTACCCCAGCGTACTTTTGTTTTTTTGTCCTTTCTTTTTCGCACCTAACCATTGACCTATAGGCTACAACCTTAAGAACCCGGGCGTGGCCCGCGAGGCTCAGCTGCTCGTAACCATAGGTCGTGGCGGGGTGTGATTGGTCAGGAGTTCAAAACACAAGTTACGTAGGGTAATCAAAGGAATGGAATGCCCTTTCATTTGGGCGATGCCCTTTCATTTGGGTGAAAAGTATTACTATTATGATAGTAAAAGGAGGGTGGTGTCGTACCCTCATGGAGCCCCTGAGTGACTCAGGGCGAGAGTGCTCGGGCTGGGGTGCTGTAGGAGCAAATGTTGAATGGAAAGAAAAGGTAAGACCAAGCTTTAAGGGAAGAAACAACGTAACTGTTCGATGTTCCATGTGTTGGTGAGAATGTTGCCATTGTCATCCTTCAGCCGGTAGGCGCCCGGTCTGATCACTTCGATCACCGTGTAGGGTCCTTCTCATGGTGGAGAGAGTTTATGTTTCTCTTTGGTTGACTGGGTCCTTCGGAGTACAAGATCACCAACCTTGAGGATCCTCCCTCTGATTTTTCTTTCATGGTACCTACGAAGAGTTTGCTGGTAGCAAGCAGAGCAGATGACGGTCGTCTCATGAGCCTCCTCGAGTAGGTCGACCACATCCTGCTGAGCCTCCGCGGGTCAGTCTGGGTCAAAGGCCTTCACTCTTGGGGCGCCGTGATCAAGGTCGGAGGGCAACACTGCTTCAGCTCCATAGGCCAGGAAAAAAGGTGTGAACCCCGTGGATCGGTTCGGTGTCGTTCTCAGGCTGTAGAGGATCGCTGGGACCTCTGCAACCCATTGCCTGGCATACTTATTGAGTCGGTCAAAGATGCGGGGCTTGAGTCCTTGGAGGACCATGCCATTGGCCCACTCGACCTGACTGTTAGTACATGGATGTTCTATCAAGGCCCAATCAATCCTGATGCCATATCCATCATAGAAGTCCAGGAACTTCTTCCCAGTGAAGTTTGTTCCGTGGTCGGTGATGAT